GGGCGCTTTGTGGCCAGCTGCCGGGCCTGTGCTCCAGCTTTTCCAAGTCTTTTCTAGTGGCTTCAGAAAGCAACGTTAGGCACTAGCCCGGCCTCAAACCCTCCGCAGCGCCTTGGCGGGCGCTTCGTGGCCAGCTGCCGGGCCTGTGCTCCAGCTTTTCTAATCTTTTCTAGTGGCTTCAGAAAGCAACGTTAGGCACTAGCCTGGCGTCAAACCCTCCGCAGCGCCTTGGCGGGCGCTTCGTGGCCAGCTGCCGGGCCTGTGCTCCAGCTTTTCTAGTCTTTTCTAGTGGCTTCAGAAAGCAACGTTAGGCACGAGCCCGGCCCCAAACCCTCCGCAGCGCCTTGGCGGGCGCTTTGTGGCCAGCTGCCGGGCCTGTGCTCCAGCTTTTCCAGTCTTTTCTAGTGGCTTGAGAAAGCAACGTTAGGCACTAGCCTGGCTTCAAATACTCCGCCGCGCCTTGGCGGGCGCTTTGTGGCCAGCTGCCGGGCCTGTGCTCCAGCTTTTCTAGTCTTTTCTAGTGGCTTCAGAAAGCAACGTTAGGCACTCGCCCGGCCTCAAACCCTCCGCAGCGCCTTGGCGGGCGCTTTGTGGCCAGCTGCCGGGCCTGTGCTCCAGCTTTTCCAGTCTTTTCTAGTGGCTTCAGAAAGCAACGTTAGGCACTAGCCCGGCTTCAAACCCTCCGCAGCGCCTTGGCGGGCGCTTCGTGGCCAGCTGCCGGCCTGTGCTCCAGCTTTTCCATTTTCTAGTCTTTTCTAGTGGCTTCAGAAAGCAACGTTAGGCACTAGCCTGGCTTCAAGCCCTGCGCAGCGCCTTGGCGGGCGCTTCGTGGCCAGCTGCCGGGCCTGTGCTCGAGCTTTTCCATCTTTTCGAGTGGCTTCAGAAAGCAACGTTAGGCACTAGCCTGGCTTCAAACCCTCCGCCGCGCCTTGGCGGGCGCTTTGTGGCCAGCTGCCGGGCCTGTGCTCCAGCTTTTCGAGTCTTTTCTAGTGGCTTCCGAAAGCAACGTTAGGCACCAGCCCCGCCTCAAACCCTGCGCAGCGCCTTGGCGGGCGCTTTGTGGCCAGCTGCCGGGCCTGTGCTCCAGCTTTTCCAGTCTTTTCTAGTGGCTTCAGACAGCAACGTTAGGCACTAGCCCGGCTTCCCTCCGCAGCGCCTTGGCGGGCGCTTTGTGGCCAGCTGCCGGGCCTGTGCTCCAGCTTTTCCAGTCTTTTCTAGTGGCTTCAGAAAGCAATGTTAGGCACTAGCCCGGCACTCCACGCTTTGTACTCCACCCTCCACACTCTACACTCCACACTTTCGACTCCCCACTTTCCACTCCACGCTGTACACTCCAAAGTTTGCACTCCACGCTTTGCGCTCTACACTTGACACTCCACACCCTGCACTTCACACTCCCAACTTTCGACTCCACACTCTACACTTTACACTCCACACTTTACACTCTACACTCCACACTCCCCACTTTAGACTCCACACTCAACATTACACTCCGCACTTTACACTCCACACTTTACACTCTACACTTTAGACTCCACACTCTACACTTTGCACTCCACACTTGACACTGTACACCCCCTTTTACACTCCACATTTTCCGCTCTACACTTTACACTCCGCCCTTTACACTCCACACTTTCCACTCCACACTTTCCACTCTACACTCGGTACTTGTACTCCACACTCCACACTCTACACTCCACACTCCACACTTCAGTCTCACAGTCTACACTTGACACTCTCCGCACTCACACTCTACACTCCACACTTCATACTCCACATTTTACACTCCACACTCTACACATGGATCGAAAAAACTAACCCCTGTTCGGGGTTCTCCTTGTTCAGGAGACTACGTACTGTTTGCTGAGCGCCCGACCGGCCCTTGTTCAGGGCTCTCCTTGTTCAGGAGATGCCAGGGGTCGGCGGCAGGGGGCGGCAGCCCTTAAATTTGGAACATCGTCTCCAGTGGTCCTAAGTTTGTCCAGGTGCGAGACGAAGAAGGATCAGCTTCCTAAGTTGCAGGATCATAGAAAGTAAAGAGATATAATCGATGATCAGATCATACAAATAAATAAAAATACAAATATCATGTCACATATCACATAACCCATCATAACTCATCATGACAATAGTTGCAATATATTTAGTGATGGCAGTGTGGCGCTTTATTTGGTCAGTTCGCTTCCTCAAGTCACAAGACTCTGCCAGGCCATGCTCAACTGCCCTTTTTTATTCAAAGAAAACTACCTCAAAATTCGAGAACCTCGTTTGGCACCTTCCCGTTTTCAAATCTTCCATCTTGGTCCAAGTAACCAAGGCTGCTTGGTGCAGCTGGCTCCTGCTGCGGTACTGCCAATATCTGCTCGCTGTACCGTCCTGCCCTGGACCAGGAACAACATGGAGGTGAATTTTCGGGCATGGTCTTCATGGTGCAACATCGTTTCACAACAGACACCTAGAGAATGAGAAACCAGAGAAACCATGGGTTTTGTTCAGGTGTCAAACTGATTAGTTTTGAGATGTTCCAGAGTGTTGAAATGTTTGTTTGAAAGTCAATGAAACCCTCCAGGCCAAACGCATCCCGCCTTCGGACAAACGCACTCGGTCTGCCGGGCCCATGAGCTCTCCCAACGCATCAGCAAGAGCGCCCTCGCAGGTGCTTGCAGTGGTGCGAATTTGGCCAACTGGCTGTAAACAATTTCAGGGTCCCCGAAAAATTAACCTGAGAAGGAGGGAAAGAAAGCCAGCCGCGCTCTCTTAAGCGAAGCGCGGCAGAAGGATCAACGTTGCGTTTCAGCAAAGAAGTACCTTCGGGGATGTTTCCGAGCCTTGTTTTCTATGTTTGAATCAAAACGATAGAAAGGTAAGAGCAGCGGTGGCAAAATTGGTCATATAAAGAAACCATATATAAGAGCTGAAGAGGATCAAAAGCCAATAAGGATCAAAAAACGTGTGCCTATCTATTGAAACATGTCGAAACAATGAAAAATAGGAAGAAGGAAAGGTGCCAAACATGGAACGACCATAGAAAATTACTTTCTCCGAGTGATCCCCACCAAGTGACATTCTATCTGACATATGTTCGGACATTCCATCTGGCACCTAATCTGGCATATATTCTGACATTCCATCGGGCGTTCTATTCGGCATACATTCTGACATTCCATCTGGCATTATCTGGCATGCTATCTGGCATTCTGATCGGCATCTTATCTGCCATATATTCTCACATTCTATCTAGCATTTATTCTGACATACGTTCTGACATTCTATCTGGCATTCTATCTGGCATCTATTTTACATTCTCTCTGGCTTGTATTCGGGCCCAGGCGTGCTCCACTGCCTCCCGAGGCCGTGCTAGAGTTCAGGTCCAGGCGTCCAGTTAGAGTCGAAGCATGGGACTACTGGTAACATCCCGCCTCCTCCCCAAAGCTGCTTGGACGGTCGCCTATACTCTTTCGCTCCTTTCTGTTTGCGCCAGTTAGAGTAGCAACATCAGACAACATCCAGAAACATGAAATAAAAAGGTTCCCAAAGCGGAAGCCTGTTCAGACATGTGTGAATGATGTTAACATGTTCCGTCGTGTTCCGATAGGATCCAATCGCTGACTCAACTGATTATCACTGACATAACTAGTACCTTTTGGTATAGTTTGGCATAATCTGGCATATTTCTCAGACAACATCCAGAAACATGAAAAAAAGTTCCCAAAACGGAAGCCTGCTCAGACGTGTGTCAGCCATGATGTTATTATGTTCCACCATGTTCCGATGGCATCCGATGGCTGACTCAACTTAGTTTCGATGACATAATTTGTACTTGCTGGCGCCGAAGGCCAACAGACAAGAACCAACCGAACACAGCCAACTGTTTCATCAGATACGTCACACTACATGTCAAACTTCTGTCAAGTATATGTCATCAAACGGCTTGGACGGCGAGGCCTAGGAGCACAGGCCAGAACCAGCCGGACCGAGCTAGTGGCACATGAAACCCACTTGCGAGAATGATACGATAACTGCCATGATGTTTCTTGTAGCTGGCTTCCAGACGCTAAAGCATGTGAATATATTTTTCCGTTTCCGAACTGCACTCCCGCACGAGAAGAAAAAACAAAAGTTTGATCAAGAAGTGCTAACCCCGGCTCCACCGTTACCAACCGTCATTGGTATATAAGAGGGAAAGAAAGCATTGGGCCTGACTATGTTTCACTTGAATGGCTATGTAAAAGTATCTAGCGCTACACTAGCACAACCTAGCGCTTAGCTGCAGGAAAGCGACTTCACTGTATATAAAAAGGACCCCGCCTTCTAACAAAATCTAGAATACATCCCTGCCCAAGTATTATGTCCTTTGGAATTAAAAGTTACTTGTAGGCATTCTAGAGCGGATCTCGTACTTTGATCTCTTACCAAGGAGAGGAAAAACATGGAATTGAGGGTCGCGATTCCAGCGATTATCTCAAACGCACCAGCCCAAGAGTGCAAAAATTACTCTACTTCGTGTGATCCCCACCATGACATGTCAGGACGTATATTTGGACATATATTTAGTATATTCTGACATCCTATCTGACATATATTCTGGCATATATTCTGGCATTCTATCTGGCATATATCCTGACATTCCACCTGGCATTCTATCTGGCAGTCTATCTGGCATTCTATCTGACATATTTTCTGACATTTCATCTGACATATATTCTGGCATTCTACCTGTCATTTATTCTGACATATATTCTGGCATTCTATCTGACATATATTCTGGCATATATTCTGGCATTCTATCTGGCATTATATCTGACATATATTTTGGCATTCTATCTGACATATATTCTGGCATATATGTTGGCATTCTATCTGGCATTATATCTGACATATATTCTGGCATTCTATCTGACATATATTCTGGCATATATTCTGGCATTTTATCTGGCATTATATCTGACATATATTTTGGCATTCTATCTGACATACATTCTGGCATATATGTTGGCATTCTATCTGGCATTATATCTGACATTCTATCTGACATTCTATCTGGCAGTCTATCTGGCATTCTTTCTGGCATTCTTTCTGGCATTCTATCTGGCATTCTATCTGGCATCCTATCTGACATTCTATCTGGCATTCTATCTGGCATTCTTTCTGGCATTCTTTCTGGCATTCTATCTGGCATTCTATCTGGCATCCTATCTGACATTCTATCTGGCATTCTATCTGGCAGTCTATCTGACATTCCTACATGAGGTCCGGCAGGGAACACTTGGCATGGATACTCGCGGTTGAGGTCCGGCAGGGAACACTGGGCGCGGATGGTCGTGGTTGAGGTCCGGCAGGGAACACTGGGCGTGTATGGTCGTGGTTGAGGTCCGGCAGGGAACACTGGGCGTGGATGGTCGTGGTTGAGGTCCGGCAGGGAACACTGGGCGTGGATGGTCGTGGTTGAGGTCCGGCAGGGAACACTGGGCGTGGATGGTCGTGGTTGAGGTCCGACAGCGAACACTGTGGATCGCGAGTCGCAGTTGAGCAGGAGGACGAGGAGGACAACGAGAGGAGGAGGAGGAGAGGAGGACGAGGCAGGAGGAGGCGGAGGAGGAGGAGAAGGAGGAGGAGGAGAAGGAGGAGGAGGCAACTGACATAAAATCTAACAACCCTCACCTGGCAGGTGGGGAAAAAACAACACAACTCGACGGGAACAGCCTGTAGCTCGGTGGCTCAAACAAATGCGACAAAGAAGGCGTGTCAGCACAGACCAAACGAGCAGCTCAGTGGCCCATATGACAGCGACAAGACACCTCGATGCGTCACTCGATCCACTTAGTTAGTCGCATCATACTTGCGTTTCTTGTGGGCAACTTTGGCATCTACAGATAACACACTGTGAGACGCCCATGTCAACCTTTTCCTGGTTGCAACATTTCTCACAAACAAGCGCTGTAGATATGAGTGTCAGCGCGGACCAAACGGGCATCTAGATGCGGACCAGGGGGGGAATCCACACCCCACCCTCACACATTTGCGTCATGGTACATGACTCGCAAAAACGACCAAAACGCATGCCCTAATTACCACCTATTTACAAGATTTTTCACGCTCTCGTCAGGACAACTTTAGCCTAGCCTTTGGCTGGCTTTCGTAAAAAAGCTGTTCCACACTACTTTGATGTACTTTGCTGAGCATTTAGTGATTTACCCAATCTACCTTAGATCTCTTTTGTTGGACCTCCATACAAATGTCAACAAATGGTGCGACTCACATGAGCCATACAGGCCTCGTGTTTATTCGCTTCCAGGGCCACCAGCGCCAGGACGAAACGGTCTAGCTCTTTGGGTGCGTCCGCTGGTGCGAAGCCAGGCTCCTGACGAAGAAAAAGTAAGAAAATCTGAATGCTTTGAACGTAGACCAGAAGTGTCCCAATCATTCCCAATCAATATGAAAATGAATCAATACCTATTAATACCATTTTAAGTGGGTTATTCACATCCATTTACCAGCTATTTTGACCCATCCCCATATGAAAATGAAACACAACGAAAGGACAAGGCTTCTGTCAGCCTCCAATGACTGTCTGTCTGTCTGTCTGTCTGTCAAGCCGTGCGCCGCGCGGCGCGTGGGCGGCTCCAACTCCATACATATGCACACAACATGCAGACTAAAAACTTAAAGGCATTGTGCTACAGGGCAGTTTTTTTTTTTTGGAGGCGTGTGCTCGCAATCTGATCAATCTGGAACATCTATGAACATATTATAATATAAGCCCACAGGGCCCTCACGGGGCCACTCGAGTTCACACTACGATCCTTAAAGGAAAAAGTCTGACGGCCAAGACTGATTAACAGTAATGGCCTTAGCTCAGAAGCATGAATCCCACGGGGCAGTGTTGAAAACAAAATCAAAACTCTGACTGGCCTAGCTAGCTCTGTTTTCAAAACAGAGTTGAAACTTCCCATCTGACATGAGGTCAGACCTAGGCAGAGATCAATGCAGCGGCACTCAGGGCATCTTCTTCTCCACCTCCACGGCAGACATCGTAGACGCAGTCGCTGAAAACTTCTGCGTAATCGTCATCTTTCGGGAGGTGTTTGGCACAAATCTTCTCCGCTTCTTGCTCTTTGGCTTCCGTGCAGGTCTGGGTCGTCTCGGTGCTGAGCAAAGACAGTCCAGCCTTTTGCTTCAACTTCAAGAAGTCTGCTGCAGCCTCACTGCCACCCAATGAAGCCCAGCTGCCAACCTGGAACTCGGTATCCGTCTGCATCACCATGGAGCTGAGTTTGGTCGACAAAAGGCTCAAGTGGTTCTGGTTGCGTGGTGCACTTCCAAGCTCTCCTCCCACATAATCCAAATCTTTCGTATCAAACATCTTCACCTTGAAATTCAAGTACTTTTTCGGGCTGCAGTGCGTCAGAAGCCTAGCCACCTTCCGCACGCCTGATTTCTCTGGCTCCGACATCTGCAAAACCATCACCGACTCCAAATTCAGAGGATCACGGGTGTGTTTATGAACTTCCTGGACGTCCAAGATGGCAGCACCCTGGAGCAGCAACTCTGGCTGCACTTTGCGCCATCCATTCTCCGTTTTCGTCTGCCACACACAGTCTCGCGCCGTCATCTCCAAAGTCTGTGCACTCTGCTTTTCCAGGAGCAAAAGCGACTGAGTGGTGAACCGCGAACTAGCACCGGAGTATGCGGCCAACAGGTGCCAATCCACTGGATCCTTGGAAAAACTCCATGCCAAGAAGTTGCCACTCTTCAAGAGCGTGTAGTGCGCACCTTTCAAGGTATGGACGTGGGGATCATTCCCCACCTGCCCCGCTGGCACGCAGCAGCACAACCTCCTCAAAGTGGTGATGAGCGGATTGGGCGGATTGGGATTTAATCTCAAGTCACAATTGGAATTTCCGCCGCCGGAAATTCGACAAGCGCGCCCACCCGGGGGATCCACCACGTTGCCCACAAATGGAGCCCGGTTGTTGGTGGACGGCCGTGGGTTGGGGAGCTCGGCCGGACCGGTAGGAGCGGTTTCGCAGGGAAAGCCCAGATCGCTCATGACATCTATCATTCCTTGTTCGGTGAGACCATTCTGCTGAACAGGGTCACACTCTTTACCGTCAGTTCCGCAAGCGACTGTACAGCGCTGACCTAAACGCCATGTGCACATTGCTTGCTGAGAGGAAAGCTGAAGGGCTGAGATTTCCTCAGCATCTGAGCAACTGCCCGAGCCATCCATGGAACTGTCAGGTGTGTCCTGAGAGGACACCAGATGCATCTGCAGCATCATCATGATCATTGCAAGAGCTGCCATTATGGTTACCATTGAAGAATACGACGAGAATTCCTACCCAGTACCTCCTATTGGCCAGTTTTCCTTGAGGCAAAACAGCTTGAGCCAATGGCTTTGCGTGTATGGCGACATGACAGGCACGTGCAGGTAATGAATATGCGTGTACACAATACGATACAATACGTATATACTTAGACATAAACATAATAACATACACATTGTATAGATATCACATGATATCACCATCTAGATTGAGGCAAACCAAAGTTCGACGGACTCAACGTTTCTCTGGAACCGATTCTGGACTTCTTGCAGCTGCAGAATCTGCAAACACTGACCCCGATATGGAAAGGGAAAGGCCTCTCCACCTTGACAACCACCTCCCCACCTGCCTGCCAGTCTTTGGAGCTTTGAATCCTAGGCGAATCCAAAGGCTATGTTCAATTTGGGCACAGGTACTTGGTTTGCAGAAGTGCGGAGAAATACTACGAGTACTGCGATATGTTGATTGAGCGTTGCATTTCCTTCAGCTAGGAAGCTTTCAAACTGCCTCGAACCCTGGATTCAACGATAAAATCTGTGGCCTCAAACACCTCAGAAAGCTTATAAAAATGACCCCAACCGTAGCCGATTATTCGAGGTCGACTAGTGGCCTGGCGTCTGCAAAACCGAACAATTCACTGCTCACTGTCTTTTGTTGCAAGCCGCAAATCGGGTGCAGCAGATCTCCTTGGTTGAGAAAATTGTGGATCACGAAAGGCCCGACATGTCAAACCGAAGCTGGTCGAAAAACCGAAAGCCAACCTATTTATAGTAAAATTGTATAAAATTGTGTAAATGACTTGCTTAGTTTTGACAATAAGGAAATGGGATGCAATGGTGTCAGCATTCTCGCTTCACTCCTCTCCAGTTGCGGCTTGGACAACTCTAACCTTTCAAAATGTATCAAATATGCAACTTCTATATACTTCTATCAGAAAGTATGTTCTGCAAAAACAATGGCGCTAGATTCAGCAATGAGTTTTGACTCCAGCTGGATACAGTTTGTGGCGGCCTTCTACAGTCCATTTCTTACCCACCCAGATGTTCCCTTCCGAGAGCGTCATCCCAACTTTCTGCCCTGGCCCTCGCCGGGTGACAGCAGCAGGGGCTTGGGTGATGTTCTTTTGGTCTCGTGCGAAAGGAGTTGCTGCGCCATTGAGTGATGTGGATCCAATATTAGGGCCTCACACATTCAGTCAGGATGGCTGTTTCAACTTGGAACTTGCCGATCCACAAGAACCATGATGAGAAGCACCTCCAAAAAAAAAAGAAACAGTTAATTCGTCCGCGGCCTCGCGGCACAGGGCGCGCACATCAAAGGTTCTTCCACGAAGCTGGACTTCCGGGGCTGAGCGCAAAAGCTCCAGGGCCAACCTCAGGCGAATCTCACCCCAACTGGTTACCATCTGGTGAAAGTTCAAAAAAACGTCGGTCAAATCAATATAATCAATCAATATTAAACTATACCATATTATACCATAACATAGCCGATTGTTTTGAATTTGCGGGGTTTTCGCGTCCTGTCGGCTCTGAAACAGTGCAGCCGTGGCACTCTGTCAACAGCTGGGCATCGTCTACCTCTTCGCAAGCTGCGAGCAGTAGCTGCCGACGGACAGCGGTCGCCCCACCCTCCTTCACCGAAAACAGTATACAAAGACTGGATGAAGTGCAGGGAACATCAATTCCCAAGAACTGTCCGGCAGGGAAGAAAGCGGAAGAGTGGCAAAAGTAATGCAAGTTGTCGTGACTAGTTATGTGTCTTTGACTGTCAGGTAGAAACAATGGAAGCGCGCCAGGAATGAATATCGCCCTGTTCTTGTCCCTTTAACACGAACCCCTCAAGTGACAAGAACTGTGTGGGGTTGCATGAGCACAGCAGCATCTCATGCACAGCTGCTAGGCTCCTGGGAAGGTATCCGCACCTCAGGCTATGTTGAACAGTCTGTGTTGAACACTGGGCCAACGTCTTCAGAGGCTTGATTATCATGTGTCTTAAATCCGCCCACACCGCTTTGGCGGTGAAGGCGTGCTTATTGGGGGGCAAAACAGCAACACTAAATGCTCAATGACATTCGTTAATATAGCAGTCGCTATATCAGCTTTAGCTGGGGGGGGGGGGGCCCAAAAACGGTTTCGCACCGAGACCAGAATACGGGGGGGTTTTCGACATTTTTCGAGGATTTTTGGGTGTCTGAGCGCAAGGGGGTATTGAAATGGAATTTTGGGTCATTTTGGTAGCTTTCCGGCAATGGAAAAACGGCCAAAAATGAAAAAAAACATTGTACATAGCAAGAATTTGCAGGGTTTTTGGATGCCAGAGCATTGAAAACACTGCAAAAACAAGTGTTTTGGACTGACGTTATAGCAAAAAACGTGTAAATTACCGTATGCTTGACTGGAAACATTACAAAAACACTGTCAAAAGCAATGTTTTGGAAGGATTTACTGCCTTTATGGCAAAAAACGTGTAAATTACCGTCTGTTTGACTGGAAACATTGGAAAAACACTGTCAAAAACAATGTTTTGGAAGGATTTCTTATATATATGTTGGAGTTGGCTACCGGCATTGGAACATGGAAAAATTGAAGAAAACACTGTAAATAGCGGTATTTTCAACGGTTGGGGAGATAAGGGAATAAGGGAATTGGAAGCATTGTCGAACATGATGTTTTCGACCGGTTTTATGGCGACAAAAGTGTAAAGTACCGTGCTTTGAAGGAAACCATTGCAAAAACATGGAAACACATTCAAAGAACACGGGATTTGGGGGACTATCTAGGCGTCGTTGTCTAGCTATTTGAAATTCCGCAGCTTGGAGAGCCTCCAAGGGAGGGAAAAGTGAAAATTCCATAGCTTGGGAAGCTGTCACGGCGGGGAAAAGTGAAAATTCCCTAGCTTGGGAAGCCCCCACGGGGAGGAAAAGTGAAAATTCCCTAGCTTGGGGAGCCCCCACGGGGGGGAAAAGTGAAAATTCCCTAGCTTGGGGAGCCCCCACGGGGGGGAAAAGTGAAAATTCCCTAGCTTGGGGAGCCCCCACGGGGGGGAAAGTTAAAATTCTTAGCTTGGGGAGCCCCCACGGGGGAAAACCACCCTTAGCCCCTCTCACGGACCTAAATAAACCTGCGGTGTGGGCGGCCACCCCACGCGAAGCGGGGTGAATACAGCACACTACATCATACATAGCGCATATCTGCCATGTAATTAATCAAATTCCTGAGCACATTTTTGGGCCAAATATGGCCAAATAATTGTGCGCCCCGATTCTTGCTGAAGGAACTGCATCTCTTCCTTGGATCGATCCCACCCGTTGCAAACTTTGCTGCGGCTGAGCTGCTGCTTCCCCTGGCTCCATCAACAGCGCCAACCGCCCAGCAGCAGCCGCGACATTGGGACGGCCGCCCTGTGCAACAGCAACCAGCAGCAACTGACCTCAAGGCACAAGGGACGGGGATGGACACCTCGTCATCTTGGGTTCATCGACTACAGCCACGGTTCTATGGGACTTGCACAACTAATCTCTGCACAATTGCACACCAAGCCCCAGCCGCGCGATGCACTGATGCAGCGCACGAATGGGATCCAAATGACCTCTGAGATCCTCCAAGCCTCTAGCAGACTCTAGCAACATGTAGGATATGTAGGACATTGTAGGACCCTCCTCAGATGCCCAATGCTTCCTAGAGGCGGGCTTTAGTGCGGTCAGCCCGGGGCCTCTCAAGCTCAAAAGTTGCCTCATTTTTGTCTGGTAACAGGTACTTGTCCCCTCCGGCCTGTGTTGATTTATTAAGATTCAAGCATGAAGCACCTCTCATGATATTCATTATCATTTGTTCAAGGAGGCGATTCATGGTAAAGAAGTTGAGCGGCTGGAGAGCTTCAGGAGCGAGCTGCTATGAAAGGATTCCAACATACCAAATATACCAAGCAGTTGCTGTGGCTCCCAACTGCAGCCATTAACACATCGGGACGGGTGGGCGCCAACTGCAGGGCCCTCAGACATCATTCCGATTGGACAGCTGCTGGTCGAATGTTTAGGGATTGCCAACAAAAAACCAAAAGGACAGGATTTTGTGCAATCAATTGTTGTCTCCCCTGATGGATGTGGGTTCAAGAATGATAACAACCAAGAAAACCTTTGCCGGACCAGCACCTGTCCCAAAAAGATGTCTACGAATGAAGTCGACCAATCCTTTGCTTCTCAGGCAATTTTGGTGCTACATTGCTGCTACGAGTACATCACATCCACACTTGGTCACCACATCACCAGATGTGACGAGACCTGCCTCTCGATGAGCTGTGTACCAGTCCAGCTGTTGTCACCTCCACTTCAAGCACCAGACAAAACAAAAATCCAAACCATTGGTAGCCAGGGCACACTTGAAGTTTGCGTATACATGCAATCCTGTAATCCCTTTCCCGGCACGGCTGAGACTTTTTAGCGGCTTCCACATGCTTCAACATGCCAAACAAATTAAAGCACACTGCCACCTCTACGTAAAGTCAATCGAGATTCACATCTGCCCTGACAACATGTGACACCTTCCTCGGCGGCTCCGCTGAACCAACTGGCTGGGCTCGACCAACCTTGCAATACATCTGGTACCGGAGCTGTCACAGCTATGGTATGGGACAGTGTGGGATTCGCAAATGATGCACATACCACAGACCCAAAGCCTTTCATGATGCTCCCTGTCGGCTTTTGGGAGCTAGAAAGCATCTACCCAAGCCTCTGCCACCTAGTAGGCCTAGATACATCAACAATGTGAGAACCGAGATTATGATGATATTGATGATGAAGCATCCCCTTCCCCTGCGCCTTTGACGCGGCAAGAGTCCGGACCCAAGTGAACGCCTGCAGTGCATCCCCAGTCCCAATGGTATATGTGATGTTATGTGACTTATGTGATGTTCAAATTTATAGCTACGCAGCTACGCCTGCACATCGAATCAACCGCTGGAAACAAAGCGAAATGGGCTGCGTGGGATGTCATCCTAGCCTCAGAGAGTGACTTGTCTTGAGTCTAAGACAACTTTGAGGAAGGATCAACTTGAACTTTTGAACCACATGTCATTCATTGTCATTCCTCTTTCCAAAATACTGCACTGGTACGAGTTTGGAGTGTTGTCAATCAGTGTTTCAAGTTTACTTGCTACAACCGCCCTTGCTCACACCCTTCGCCCCTTGGTGCCCCTGCCAAGCTGTGCACACGTGACCGGGTCTACATCCAGCTCCAAAGAACGAACCTCAATGGATCTGAATGGTCTGCTGTCTGCTAGCACTGTGACTGTGACTTGTGTCCCAAGGCACCGGACAAAGACTTGAGTCTTGCCCATCTGAAATCCATTGAGCATCAGCTCCTCAACTGAAGGGCCACCATGGACCACCCTTGAGTCGGACATTTCATGAAGCTTGCATAAGTTCGCCATATCTTGCTATATTTTACCAACCCCATTGACCCAGTCTTGAGCTGTGGTTTGTGCAAAGTTCCGACTGGCTAGTTTCTAGATCTGCTACTGCTACCATAGAATATGACCAGTGAGAAATTCTTGAAAAAAGAACTGGCTGTGTTGAAAAGCATTACTCTATGCTGTCCTCATCTTTTTGTAGGGTCTCTGCAAGGAGCCGATAGTTCTCAGCCGAGCTCGGCTCAAGCCTCAATGTGGCTACAAAAAAGGGTACACAGCACACAGGTTTGCAACACAAGCTCTACAGACTCTACGACACCTCCGATTCCTCCAGAACCCAGAAACCCGTCGGATCGAGTCGCCTGATGGCCTCCAAAAGTAGTTCCCGTCTTCCAACATTGCCATGACACTGCCCTGCAGTGCCTGGCGATGCCATCAATCCAGGGGGCAAATCCCAAGGTCGTGACATGGTGGAAGTGGAAACGTGGAGATCGGCTTGTGAATATCTGTGATCGTTGAAATCCCTGCGACAGGCTGGTGATTCTCTACGTGGCAACCGACTCAAAGAATCAGCACCCACTTCCCAACCGTATTTGATACAGCCTGATACAGGTTCAAGCCGGTTCAAGCTAAGCAAGTCTTTGCACAAATCAGCACCTTTGATACCCCAGGCCCATACAACACTTCGAGGCCAAAGCTGTGACACTTTGGCAGGGGCAACCTGATGGATCTGATGGCATTTTGTTTTCCGTTCTCCATCGTTCTCCAGATCCCACCAGCACAGCCGCGCACCTCCCTGCAACAGCACAGTCTCTTTGGGGCGCAATGCTAAGGCGAGATCGCCTGCACATGTCCCAGGTCAGTGGACCCAAAAAGTGGAAGAACAGCCATGCATGATATGTTCATGATATGATGTAGGAAGTGTGGTAAAGTGTGCTGAATCTACAGTAATGTGATAAAATATCATATAGAGATATATAGAATCGATTAGAATCGTTTGTAAATCATTGTTGTTTCATACGCACATAATCAATCTTAATGATAGCATCAGGAGGGCTGCAGGAAAAAAGATGCACCCTGTCCGGGAGGGTTGCATCGTTATCATGGAGCGACAACTGGGCACACCCGTCTGGCTGCCTTCCTACAAATGTGCTTAAAAAAAATTGACTGCCATGCTCTTTAACTACAACAGGCTGATAGCTGTTTAGACACTGCCAGAGCCACTGTATATCACACAGGCCCTGTGGAAAAAAAACTGTGAGGGCGACAATCTAAATGTTGCTGTTGCACTGAGACAAACCGGTTTAGACCCAGTTCTCACGAACTAGATATAATCTCGGTTTGAACTTGAGTCCATGCCATTCAAAGGGGATCGTTCTCTCCTTCCCATGGCAAGCAGCGGGCTGCACAAACAAGCAAGTGCGACGGTAGGCACAGCAATGCCTGGAACAGCTAAACACTCGAACATTCAGCTATACCGATTCAGGTTGATAATGATGGATATATGATGGATATAGCTTGACACAGAGTTGCACGCAGCAATTGTGACCAATTTGCGGCGTCACTCAGGTTTTCGGGAAAAACTGCCGCAATACTTGCGCTGGTGGTTTCCTGCAGTAACCATCAGCAACCCACATTCGGCCGGCTGAAATCGGCTGAATCTTTCGCCTGGGATCCAACTCCAGCGCTTTCTGATGCAATGCTCTCCGGTCCCAGAACGCATCCAGGCATTGCACCTGCGAGGGGAACCATCCGGGATCAGGTTCTGTACCATGCAAAGGGATCAAAGGGTTTACAACTCGAAAACCTAGAAACAGAGGTCGGAGAACCATGGAGACCTGCCAATGAGTAATGTGATTAATGTGGCTGCTTGGTACTCTACCCGACTCTACCCTCGCAAAGTGTTTCAAAAGGTTTTTGTTCTGATCCCATGCAGCATGTCAGCATGCTGCATCGCCAAGGCACTCTCTCCTGGAAGCCCAGGCTGAGCGCTAGGTTGTTGTAGGCCACCTAAATGCGCTGTGCTTTCGGCGTCTCGAAGCATTCTGCTAGGCCCTGGGCTGTCAACTCCTGGCCCTGCCGGCCTTGCCCAACAACTTTGAGGCGAGCACCGCATAGCCAGGATCCAACTGCAGCGCGGCGAAGTACAAACTGCGCCGATCCCAGCAGCTGCCATCCGCTAGGCGCACCCATTCCTGACCACCAAAGGGGCGTTTCGATAGCATTGGGTGTTTGACGCTTCCAAGGGAATATATATCAAAATCTGTTCAAATGAAGCGATCGATAGTTGAGATGGTTGTCAGATACCATGCCATTTAATGGATGGGTGCACATGGGGGAAGGTCATGAAGCTAGTTCTGGCTGGATCTTCCAATGTATCTATGAATCCATCACACAAACACCTGCCATGCAGGATGAAGATTGGTTGCAACAGGGTGCAACCTCTCCATTGAGGGTCAGTGGCTTAGCATCACCAGCCCTCCCTCCCTCAGCTCCTGCGGTGCCATGAGAACAGCCAAGTTGTTATAGGCAAAGGCATAGCTGGGATCCTACAGCTGGAATCGTCACCAAAAATCAGGCCCATTCAGCCCCTTCCCCACCGCACCCCAGGTCCAGCTCAATGGCTTTCACGTAGAGGCTTCGCTTGTCCCAAAGTTGGCCATCTTTCGTCCGCAGAACCTCTCCAGGCAGCATCTGAAAGGGTTTTCCAGTTTTCCATCAGCATACTTCCTTGGGTCAAGGTTGACACCGTTGACACCTCTTCTCCAGACCTACATGGTGGCCCTCACATTCCCTTCGGTTTCCCTTGGGTTTCCTTTGGCATCGACCCAGCAACCCATGCAACCCAGAGTGGCGCATCCCGGGCCTCATGATCCCCCAAGACAACGCCCAGATTGCAGTGCGCCACCGCGTTCTTGGGGTCCAACTCAACCTGGGACGGGGAAAAACATGGAAAACCATGAAAAACATGAAGGAAGTGTCACCCAAAGTGCTGAAGTGATTGGTTACAAACTCTCAAGTCACAAGCCAATGCCCTATAGACAGTATGATAAGTATATACAGATATATACAGTATAATCATGTTTTGCAATCACCTGCTCTTCTACTAGCAGTTACTAGCATCACTAGCGCAATCCAAGGCAGGTCGGAAAGGGCTGCCCTGGTTCCGCTGAGCTTCAGACGGCTCGCTGGAAGAGCGCTCGTTGATTGACCCCGTTGCCTTGCAATGTGACCACCTGCGAGGAGTTGAGCTGTGGCTGTTAACGGTAAGATATGGTAAGATAATGGGGATGGATACCCGAAGGAAATGTCATGCCTTTGAGCCTTCAGAGGATTGCTCAACCTTTTGCAACCTTTTGACTTTGGGACTAGACCGTGAAGAAAACAAAACTTCGGACAAAGCCATCTAAAGCGAGCGCCGCACCTCCCCTGGGCCTAGTGAAACAGCCAAGTTGTTGTGGGCATGGCCTGGGAATCGCACAACACTGACAAGTGATGGTACAGTGGTCTTTGGGTATTGAAGAGGGCGTTCAACATGCCATGTTCCGAAATGATTGTGTTTGTATGCCTCACTTTGTGAAGGACATGAATTTGATCTGGCCCTGAGGATCGTTAAAGAGTCTATCCTCTAAGAGTCTAACAGTAGCAATATTAGAACGTTAGAGGCAAGAAGCCACCCAGTGTGACGAATGCAACCCATCGAGCCATTTCGCAGCCAGCGGGGAAAGATTAAGCAGCATGTCTGTACATGTGCCAAAGCTTGGACAGCTGCAGTTGAAGAGTTTGGGTCCTCTCCTATGCCATTTCATCCATTTCTTCAGAGTCACTTCTTCATCCCAGCACACCCGGCCAACATTCTTCGATTGGCAAACACTGAGCCCCCCAACTGTGAGTGGCATCCAGTTCGAGGGCCTTCAAATGCAATGCCTTTTTCGGCAACAATAGCCTTGGAGTGATCCCAGCTGGACAGTTGGAACAGATTTGACCGAGAAATCGGGAAAGCAACAGAGAGTGAGTTTCCCTTTCCGTAGGGCCAAGGAACCCATCGGGCAACTGTAAGCTTTCGCCTCCGGAGGTGAAACGCGGTTGATCACCGCTCTTGTTTGACGGATTCTTCCGTGGGGCTCAGAACACTCTTTTGCAGTCTATAGTTTCAAATCCAGACCTGCCGCTATGTGATTTGTGCAAAAGAGATGAATGCTTAAAAAACCTGAACCATGTCAGTTCTGTGCTGTGCTATGTGCTCCCACCTATGTCACCATGAGAGAAAGTGTGAGGCCTTTGAGAGGAGCCATTCATTCTGAGACATCTTTGGTGATCATAAGACATTCTCTTTCCAACCAGAAAGGTTGTATTTTACTAGACATGCATTTCCAGGCACTCCAAGCCCCAGCTTCCAGCCTGGTCGCAAGGTAGAGCCCAGGTTGTCAAATGCCTCCGGCGAAGGAGCTTGGGATGCTCAGCAAGAGGATTGATGAAGCTCTACATGTCTGCCTTCTAAAGCTGCACGTAATTATGTAATTACACATTGTCAATTTCAGTGTAGCTTCACATCAGTGTTCAACGCCAGGGATACGCCAAAATATGCCAAACATCGACACCGCAGCAGTGAACCCGAGTGAACCCTTTCCGCCATCGTTTCCTGGGCGTTCTTCGGATCCACCTCCAAGATATCCAAGAAAGCTCCGCGATCGTCCTGCGCATCCCGTGCCATTCCCTGTAACATGTGCCACACCTGGATTTGTCCCAAAACAATCAATAAATATGGGTATATATATAATTATATAAGTTATAAATATATATATAATATATCAATATATTAATGTGTAAATAATATAATATATCATATTATCATAATATATATATATATATATATAATATTCTATATATACGGATTTCCCAGAGTCATCCACCTTCAGATCATGTTTTGATGTTTCGTTGTGGGGGAAACCATTCGGGCTATCAGTCGCCCAGCTCCTGGCTACCGATCTCTCGTGCCACGTCTCGCAGCTCAGCTTGCATGAAGAAGGCACCACAGCTGTCAAGATCCACAGGCGCGACCGGCAAATACAGATTTCCAAAAATTTGACAGGTGAAATCCAGTTGGCCTGTTGGTTTGTTATATCATGTTGTATTATGTTTATATGATGTTATATATATATGTGTATCTCAACGTCGTAGATTGATATTCCATTCTGGGAAGGCACTGCCGCTCTTCATTGGCTGGCCAAACAGGATTGAGATGAAAAATGTCTTTCCAGCACGTGTCAAAATCGTTCCCCGTGTGCCCTGTGTCGCCACTGGCTTGCATGATCACGTGTTCGAGATTCTCTGAGTGTGTGAAGATTTAGCATTCGCCTCACATGCCGATTTTGGCTGCGGACACCATTGAGTCTAGCATGTGGTGGACATGTGGTGGACATGTGGTGGCTGGGAGCCCAACTGGCAAGATGATTCTACTTTCGGTTGGACAGGAAGTGTGTTGATCAATGATCTGCCTGCTCTGCCTGTTCGATTTTCCTACTGCCGCTCGACTAGAGGGGTCCCAACCAGTTCTGTGATCATAGAACATCAACCCACAACATGATTTGATATGTGTGGCTCCGAAATCAGCACATCGCCCACAATTTTCGGCTGGTGAGTACAGGCTCAGCGGACCTTCGCCTTGAGGCATCAGTTTCACAAGGGACTTGGTGGATGAATCTTCAATGAATTCATTTCTGTCGACTTCTATGCTCCAATTTCGAAGTGTAGCAGACTCGCAAGTCTTGAAGTTCCTGTATCCAACGCAAATGAGTTGCATAGTGGCATAGTGGCAGGAGACAACAGAAGTATGGACAGCCAGTATAAAATTCTCCTATGAGTCCAGCAACAAATGTGCCATCCGCAACTTCCAAGCTGGCTTTACCATTTTCTTGTCTCAGCATTTTATGGTTGTTGCATGTTGTTGCTACTGCTGCAAAGATGTATCAAAGATGTCATTTTATGGTGTTGATGCATTTTGATGCATTTTCTATCTGATTTTATCTGGCTATGTTGGATATCTATGGATATCTTGACACCGATAGAAAGTTTCTGGTGCTGTCGTGGCACCAATCCCAGCAGCGCATCCAGATCTTCTCCGTCATCCGAAACATCACTTTCCTCGCAGGACAGCCCGTCTTCCCACTCGGGGAATGAAGTTCAATACTTAGAAACTGCATGAAACTGCTGATCTTCCAGTTCTTCATTCCGAAGGATGTTGAAAACAATTATGGTCAGTGTTGGTTCCTACGTCATGAAGTGATTGGGAATCAGGCCATGGCCCTATGACCCCTGTGTGACAACATGTGACAACAATTGTAGCACGGTCCGACGGTGTCCGACGGTCCTCGGCTGACGTTCCGCCAGCCTCCTGGCAGGGTAACAGGTCTTTGGACTGAGACAATTTACGATTGAAAAGCTGTGGAAAGAGTGAGAATATGTGAGAATCCTCGCTGGTAAAGTTGTCAAATGTTGTCAAATGTTGTCAAGTTGGAAAGATCCTGTTTTCCCAACAGAGACACCCTGCCCGCTCCTCCCAGTCGGCGTTGCGGTGAGCCGTCAGATCCATGGTCCGATTCCTCATGCTCTTCCGGCCACGACGCCGTGGGGCACCTCGATGCTTTGAGGTCACAAAAAGAGGATTTGAGTGCACAACACTGGCGTTTCTTTAGGACAATCAGACACATATTGCAAGTCGAAAACTAGTGAGACCTGTGAGCTGATCAATCCATATCAATCCCTCATTAACAAATAAAACTGTGCCATTTTCGTTACATGAGCATTCTATACTAGGAATGGACTCGTCTCTGAGTTGCCAACTTTCACCAGGGGCAGATTGCTTAGCACGTAGCTCCTGTGTAGGGGCCGGAACAAAGAAGTAAACACCCGCATTGCATCAGAGGTTAAAGAAATGCCCAGGCTATATAAATGTCCGCCAGGGTCAGAATATGTCAGAATCATTCAAAATCATAAAAGGTAACATGATATACAGTAATACAACCAAAGAAAGCTACTATTACATTCCGAGTTGGCTTGCAGCTCTGCAGCCCCAGTATGTAGCATCCTGGTTTTCTCTCTCACTTTCTTCAAACCTTACATGCAAGGCAGAAGGTCAGTGCACAGGTTGTTCCAACTCATCAGCCAAATCAAGAGGACAGTCATTGACAGATATTGACCGCCTGATGCCTGCTACACACTGCGACTACCCCATTCCATCACAAAATGCAAATATATGCGAATATCGCATGGGCTGGGTTTGTAGCTTACATCATGGTCAGTCAAGAGTGAATGAGATGTTTTGAATAAAAGCTGCCCGCTGCTGCTCCTTGCCCTGGCTTGTATGACTTGCAGCAGCTTCTGATATTTCCTCTACTCTCATCTTGTTCTACTTGGCACCACAAGTATCAAGTGTGAGATGACTTCTTGTTGCTACACAATACCCCTGAGAACACACAGGAATCACTGGAAAGTCCGGGTCATTAAGCGCAGCAATGTGGCTGCTTCTGAAGCCTGCGCAGCTCTTCCTTCAGTTCATCTGCATCAGAGGAAGATGTCTTCCCCTGAGCACTCTGCCTCTCCATTTCCTGCCATCGAGCTACGTCAGCAGTTTGTCTTTGAAACCTTCCTGCTATGCGACGGAACATGGGATTCAACATTCAAACTCTAAATCGGTCATGTCCAATGATACACAGTGCCGGCCTCTCTGAGTCTGTTGAGCTCGGAGCGCAGTTGCGTCGCCGTTTTGCGACTGGCTTCTCGCCGCGACACGCCATTGCCGCCATTGTCGCCATTGGCAGACGGCATGGAAGGCATCCCAGGCATCGCCGGAGACATCGCTGGAGAGGAGGCAGCCGGTGGAGGTGCAGACGCCGGTGTGGATGCTGGAGCGGATTCAGGCGCAGGGGCCTCAGTGAAAGTTGGGACATCACCAGGATCAACATCTGCACATCTTTCAGAATAGAATAACATGAATATAACATGAATATATAAATAACATAAATAACATACAATTTAAAAGAAATGCACAGAATCTACGTCAGGACTTCCAGCACACAAGCAGTTGCCTCAGGGCCGGTGGCTTCCACCAAAGGCATCGCATGCTGTCTTTGCCGAAGGCTTTGCTGTCAAATGTCAAATACGATTCTTTCAGGAACCAGTTCCGAGATGCACCAACAATACCAACAACCAACGGATGTTCGCAAATCGAGGACCCGCAAACTGATCTTCAATTCAATCATACGGCCAGACATACGCAAAATACACTCATATACAACCAATAGAAGCCCAGATACAACTTATACAAGCCATGTTTGTTGACTCTATATGATTCTTTCCTATATGTCGAGGTGATACCTCTAATGCGGTGCTGCGAAGCTTCTGGGCTCATGGAGGGTGCTGGCTGCGCCGATGCGCTGGGCATTGCTGGCATGGCCGCTGGCGCCACAGTGGCAACCTGATGGGCAGAAAGTTGCAATAGATCCCGACGAAATCTGCAAATATCCACCTTCAGTGGGATAACCATGTTGTATTAATTTGTATTATATGTTAATCATTTTGAATCATGTTGATATGTTCACAGCATCAATATGCTTACAGTTTTGAGTCTTTTGTTTGGGTCTGGCGATGCTGATGGAAAAGCGTCAAGGACCGATCTCAGTGCGGGACCGGATCCGCAGCAGCCGGAGTTGGCATCTGCGTTCCACTGGCACCCTCTGCAGCAGGCCTCAGATGAGGAAACTTCGGTCACGTCAGCACGGTCACCCGGTCACCATTCTTTGATGTTGAAGAATGTGTGTTGTCTCCTCAGCACATGTTTGTTGTTTTAATTTGATTCGGGTGAAGATCTATAGACCCGTGGCAAGCTTGCAAAGGTGACGTTTAAGTCCTGCTCATGTTCTCTCTTTCGCAACTTGTCTTCGTGATGCTAAAAATGCAGAAGCATCGAATCTATGAGGCCATCTGGCCCATGATTGACCAGGGTGCAATGCAAAAAACTGTGAGAAAATCAACCAGTAATAACCAGTATACTTCGAACTTCGAAATACTTCGGAATGATGGTTGAACCCGGTAGGAGTTTGCCGCCACAGCCCCGTTGAAAATTGCAATGAAAATTGCCAAGTGTCCAGCCGCCAAACTCCTGACAGGAAACGTGGCCATGGGAGGGTTAAATAGCCTTCACCAACATGTGTCACAGCAGCCATCTAAGTATATGGGTCAAATGTCTTGGTCATTTTCGATACAGCAGCAAATCAGACCATGATACTTAAATCATTCAGAATCCTTTTATCTTATTGGATTGGTATAAAAATAAAACCTAAGGCCAATCTTAAGCAAATCAAAAATAATAAAAACAAAATAAAACAAAGACATATCAAATTTTGGCACCTCATGACGCCCACGACACCATCAGCCGTCCTCGAGCGCTTGCACCGGCGAGTCCGGCCGCAGCGCCGTGGGCGGCAGCGGCGGCATCAGCGGCCCCAGCGTCTTCCGGCGCGCTGCTGGCGAGGCCTGAGACAGGCCGACCCAAAAAACTAGATAGGTATGTCTATCATACTTGTTTATGTATATTTAGCACATGAATGTATATATATATATATACATATATATATATATACGTACATATATATATTGTAATATATTATCATATATTAATATATATTATCATATATCATATTCAAATATCTATTATAGTGTATAAATATGTATATATATATATACAGTATATATATGCACACACACACAATTGATTCACCAGCATCCAATTCACAGATATCTGTGTAGTTTGATGTACAGTACTTTGGAAGGGGAACCAATTGTTGAAAGATGTTGAAAGTATCTGGTATGCCTCATGGTTGCACAACGCCACTTGGAGTCGATTTCCAAGGCTTGAAGGCATACACATGTGCTCTGAAAGGCTGTCGGCTGAATCTATGTTCAAGAACGACAGAACGACAGCTAGTTGGGACTTTTGGTTTCAAGAGTTGAAAACCTGTCAAAACCCATCTCAAAGCCAAGGCCCA